GTAAATTTTTCAACATAATTGATATTTCATTTTTTTTTAAGTCAAGTTATTTCTTATTAAGATCCCGTTAATAAAAATATGGATCAATAGTTTGTGACTCAATTACACAAAATCACACAGTGATACTCAAACTTCAGAAATAAAGTTAGGGTTTGTGTCACGCAAACATTAAATTATCAGAACTTGTCTTTTTTATTTTATTAATAACTATTAAATTAAATAGTTTATATGTTCTTATATTTTTATTAGTACTTACTAATTATTATTATAACTTATAAGGTGTATAATGTTATAATAATAGTGATTCTAAAGCCTTTATAATAAAATATGTCTGTTTCAAAAATTTCAAATTGAAAAGTTAATTCTTTTACAGTTGAATCTGCTATTTTGATTTTATGTATAGTCAGTATTTTCTTATTTTTATTATTTTCTTCACTATTTAATATCTAGAAAATTAAAAGCTTAATAGATTTTATTTGTTTAAAAAGAAAACCATTATTTGATATTTCCTTGTTTACTATACAAATTAAAGTATTGTCATTATTAATCTATTATAACGGGTACGTTTTACTAAGATTATGTAAAAGTGGCAATATTAAATCAAAAATAGCCTTAGCTAAATTGTAGTATCTAAATTTAACAATTATTCTGTAATAAAACACATTATTAAGGATTTAAATTTTATGGAATTTGTACGCGACAAGTTTGTCCGATTTTATACACATACATACATGTATACTATATTTATGTATGAACACAAATAATTATAAAATCAATTATACTAACTTATAATGCATAGTTGTTAAAAATAAAATTTATTTACCTTTAATGATGCAAATAATGGTTAAAAGAATATTTGCTGTAATGCGTATGCAACAATTTTCCTACTTTAAAGAGTTAAAAACAATTTTTATTAATTTTTACTGTGTATTTTACAAAATTTGAACATTGATAACACATAGTCAAACAATTGTGTTGATAAATTTCAACGACAAATATATAGTATAGTATAACATTTAAAGAACAATAATAATCTTTTGTCTGATAATATAAGTATTTAACTAATAAAATATTCATAAACTAATTATTAATACAACAATAAATTTAAAAATTACAAATGTTACTATTTTGAAAATATTCAATCAAAAATATTAAACAAAAACAATATCTATACATTTGAAATTGTTCAACTTCTATAATACTGATTTAAATTTTTTTCTTTTAACAATCGTTGGTAATTAAACAAATCTAACAAAATCAAAATTCAATAAATAAAATTAACTATAAGAATTATCTTAGGCAAGTTCAAAAAAATAATTTACTTGATTTACTGAATTCATTAAATACAAATTAATAGAATTACAACTTTTCAAAGAGAGAATTATTGTATATTAATAAATTTGATATAAAATTTAACTTTGATAGCCAAATACCCGTGTCAGTTATAGCTAAAACTTTATGATCAAATATCCGTAATGTATGTTAAACACACAATATATGGGTTAGCTCATTGTAAGAAATAACTAAACTGAAAGCAGACATTTGAACTACCTTAGATAAGTTTAATCAAATAAAAATAATATACTTACATATTATTATAAATATTGGTATAATCAAGAAGCGATTCCTTGTATGTAGTAGTATGAAATTCATACATTAATTACTGATATTTTTAAAAATAAATGAAACGGGTATATGAGTATTATCAACCCACATACACAAATACATGCATTAATAATTATTTTAAGTTAACACAACACACTTTTCATTCAAATTGCTTAGTGTTGATATTATACATTCACATGAAAAAATGTCACATTAGAAATAAATGTTTTATACTTATAATTTACACCTTGATATATAATTGTAAGGTCTTAGGTCCGATTGGAAAGACATTTCCATAGCAATTGATATGTCATACTCAAAACCAATTTTACATGATAACATTGGTTTTTAAAAGATGAAATATTTTCAGTAAAAAAGCATTCAACCTAAATTAAAAAAGCTAATTGAAATCGTATTGTATTAAATTACCCATTAAACTCTAATAAACTTACCTATTAAATTAATGCTTTATATTTATAATTTACACCTTGATATAAAATTGTTAGGTCTTCAGTCTTGGGTCCAATTGAAAAGACATTTCCATAGTAATTGGTATAGCCTATTCTCAACGCCATAGATATTTCTGACATGATAACATTGATTTTTAAATGATAAAAGATTTTCGGAAAAAAGCATTCAACCTAAAATAAAAAAGCTAATTGAATTCGTATTGTATTAAATTATCTATTAAACTTTAATAAACTTACCTATTAAATTAATGGTGTGTCCAAGAATGTAACGTCAAAATAAAGTCGAGAGCAAATATTATCAATTGATATATTTAAAAAATTATAAAATAACGAGTTATGACATAACTACAATAAGCATGCTATCATATTTACTATAAAGTAAAATGTAAATTTACTAACATTTTTTAATTAAGTTTGCAATTTCTCATTTCACTAATGGAAAACGTGTGAACTTCGAAGTCGAAATTTGTTAGCGATGAGGTTATGTACAAATAATAAATATAATGTGATTTTGTACAAATAATAAAATATATTATTGGTACTGGTCACTCGATTATTCCGTGGTAACTGATGCATAGTTTAGATACTAGATTGTTATCCGAGATAACCAGCTAATGACTAGCTCCAGCTAGATTAGGTTAAAGTGTAAAGTCCGTTATCCGTAACAGTCTACCTTTCGTCTAATAATGTATGGTTATTTATTATATCTGATTATGATACGGAATGCGTTAACATCAAATTATTATTATATTTGATGTGATGACCGTCGTAATAAAACTACTTGTCTTTGTCGAATCGAATGAAATTATTAAGAAATATAGACAAAAATTCAAATCTTTACAAAGTCATAAACAGCGAACAAATGGATGAAAATTAAAAATTCAAACGCTAACATTTTTTTAGATTTTTTGTCTTTATATTTATGGAATTTAAAACATATGTTCCCATTTGAAAAAACGAGGTTCGTACTTATTTAACGTATAAGGGTTGAAGATAAAATTTTTCTAAATATTGAAAAATGTAGCTAAATATGTACCTAAAATTTTAGGGAAAAAAAAATTCGCAAAATATTCATACTTTCAGAGAAAATGAGTGTCTTACGTTAGTTGGATCACCCTGTATAGTTACGATGTTTCGAGTGGCTGACTATTTCTTTGTCGAAACGTTTACGCCTTATACATTATGTATTTTTTCTTTGTTGGCAATTCGAAAATTGTTATTAGTTACATCTATGACGGTCAGTATGTGTGTGTGTGTTGTTTATTGACGTCTCTTGTGACGCAGCTGCCGTCCGTTGCGATGATTGATCTCGACATAAAGAATTGTCAGAGGGGGAAAAAAAAGAGGAAGTTTAAACATTCGTCAACACAATTGTGTTATCCTCGCGCGATAATATTGTTTCCCGTTCTCGTGCGGGCGCGACCGACAAAAGTTTGTAGTTGTTAACAGAAAAAAAAGAAAAGGGCTTAAGTGTTGACGTGACCGCCTTTTGGGTATGATCAAAAGTTTATTTTATTCTGACGGTCACTCCGGCATCTAAACAGAACTGTCCTTAGACAGACCCGTCAAAGTGCATAGAGGTTGGCGGATGGCTTATGTTGGATGGATAGATACTAGGAGACAAACAAATAAGATTACCGTGACGGATTGTATCGTAAAACACTATTGATGGACGTTATTAAACTTAAATTTATTTGCATATTATTCGGCGTTACTCCTTACACGCTGTATACAATTAAGTACTTATAAATAATATTGTATTAATCATAAACGTATTATTATCCTTATATATAACGAAAGTGTGTGACCTTACGGAAATGTATGTGGTCCTATTGTGGTAAGTAATTAGAATATACTGCAATTATTTCTGCGCAGCGCACCACATACCGTCTCATAGGCTTATGTTTATAGTAATAATAAATCGTTAACATGTAATCATTTATGAACAGATTAAATATTGATAAATTAATGCAAAAACAAAAAAACACTTGTATTATAATGCACACAACACAACATAAGTTTTTGCTAAAAAAAAATTGTTTTATATAATAAAAAAAACAATGGTTTCAACGGATAATGCAGCTGAAGGAAGGGGAGGGGCATTGACTCCAACTACCGTACGATTGTAATTCTTTCGCAAATTTTATGTATAAAATGTATACCTAAATGTCGATTTAGCTTTCAGAGGATTCAGAGTTAGGCATAAGTCAATAATTTAAAAAAAATGTAGAAACTGTAAAATAAACAAAAAATTGAAATAATGTTATAAAACGCTGTTCATAATTATTAATTTAATTTTAATTCAAAATACGGTAAAACTGATTTTAGATTTATAAATATTTTTAATAAAACTAGTCTACATAGTTTCTAATTAAATGTTTTAATTTCTAATAAATTAAATATAGGTACAATTAAAACTTTAAATTGTTTTTATTGTTTTTTTTAGTTTTACATTTTCCTAGTAAATTAACTTAAACTATAAGAAATAGTTAAATCAACATTCACATATATTTATCGATTCAATTATGATTAGTGAGTATAATGATTAATGGTTATAGTTTTAGTCGTAGTTGGATTTTTTTTTATTCTTACATCTAATCATTAATTTATAATTTTATTTTTTTTTATATTTTTTAATCGTTTTTATTATTTTTTTTGTCTTAAAATAAGTTATTACTAGTAATCGGGCTAATTAGTTTAGCTAGTAGTCAATTATTTTGAAATACTATGTTAAGCTTCTAAAATTTCAAAATTTTATTAATAACTATTTTAAAATATGTATTTTAAGCTACAAGTTTTCAATGAAAAATTTAATTTATAATAAAACAAATTTTATCTTTAGGTATTTATAATCTAAATGTTAAATCTTAATTACACTTACATAGATATTTTTATAGTTTTAATCATAATATTTTTTCCGTAAAAATTACCTTTTAAATTAAGTTGTGAGATTTTTTTTTAAATTTGTATACTAATAGTTATATTTTCAATAAAACAATACCTAATTTATTATCTAATACCTTATACTTAAAATTACGAAGTATGTTAACAATTGTTTATTAAGAGACTACAATAATTAATAGTTATGGTTGAGTTATAATTTTAAATATCAAAATCCTACTACCGGTCTGCAGGGAATACCCGTCAATTTGGAAAACGCCTAAGTGTTATACGATGGTTATTATATTATTTTTCAAATCGCCAACTTCTCCCTCCCCTATCCTCGGCTCGCAAATGTTGTTATTACATATAATATTAAATTTATTTTTTTTAAGAAGAAGAAAAAATTAAATTATTTATAGACAATTAAAACAACTGGTAAAATTTTGTTAAAGTTATGCTTATATACTACTTATACTTATTATTAAGTATTATGATTATGTACACACACGTATTATGAGATTTTTTTACTCTAAAAACCATATAAACATGTATAGTTTTTAAACTAAACGCGGAATCATTCCGTTGCCGGGAAGTATACATTAAGTAGGTATAATGTAACATCTGTTTAGGACAGAAAACCTATAAAACTTATACATTTAAAAACTTTTAATAGTTATTATGATTGACTTACAGACTAGGTACCTTAATAAATATGTATACATATGTTTTTGGTATTAAACAAATAAAACACGAATAATTCTATAAGTATACAATATTGTTGGTATATAAAAAAAGTATAAAAACTTTTTAGAAATGTTAACGCGGTAAATAATCATTTTTTTTTTTAATACAGCTTAGCTTGTAACACAGACAACTTAAGTTATTATTAATATGACTAAAACGCACACGTTGGTATGCCTTTCTATGTTTGATTATGTTAATTGTTAATGTTATAAAATACGGATTATGGATATCGTTTCGAGTGAGTTAATACAGTATTTTTTAGGTACCTAATATAATATAAATGTACATGTATGAGCCATATTTTTGAGAATCGCATAAGACAGGGTCATGTTTTTTAGTATTTATAATAAAAATAGATTATAATTATTTATACTTGATATAAGAATAGAAATGAGGTAACAAAAGGTAGGTTCTATCTATGCAAAGGGCAAACAAATTATAGAGAATAATAATAGTACTAAACAAATTTAGACATTTTTATTATTACAGAAAATGCATCTTAAAAGTAATTCCACTAATACCGAACATGTTACACTATAACATAATAATATATTTAACATTGATAGTTTTAATCCTAGCCTGACTTACCCTACTATGTATGCACTTGTTTACAACAATATAAATATTTATAAGGTCATTCACCAACACAAATGTAATGTGAATATAATATTATGTCCAATGCGGTGGAATAATTACAATACTAACGGTTCCAAAGACGTTCGCCAAGAACTTTTAAACTTGCAAATGGCGTAGTCAAAACACGAAAATGGATGAACTAACGATTTTCAAACAAATCCTACCCCATCAAATGTTTTTTTTTTATATAAATCATTTAATGTTTTTGATCGTCAAAGTAGCAACAAAAAACGAAATGGCCCGGAAACGCTTTAAGTTAATTGTACCTAAGCGAGCATTGGTTTGCGGTTATATTGTTATTGTTTTAGTACTTAAAGTCGTCTACATTTTGTTTAGACTCATGACCTTTTATTTTCGGGCCAGTGAACATCACCTTTATCATTAATGTGGACGAATCTTTCGAAGGCGATGACTATGCGGTCGAAGAGGTAAAGGTAGGGTATTGTTAGAAGTAAGGCGTCTGCCCAAGGGACTGGCGCTGCTTTGTAAAAACGACATTTCTGAATGTTTTTAAAATGTCGACGCCGAGGGTTTAAACCGTGTCGTTTAGGTCGCATAATATTACACATTTATATAACATCGTAATAAAATGCCATATTATACAATAGCGGGAAAAAAAATCCGAAACCCATATTGGAACCTTTTGCCGCGGTTGTAGTTAAACACAGCTAGACAGTAGTGTAAAAAAACAGGTATTCGGTGCTAAGGATAACCGAGAGAACTTTGTTGGAGGTTTAAAGTGGATGTTAATGTAACCAGTTTTTATTGCAAAAATGAAAACAGGGTCACTGGGGTCGACTGCTGGGACTTTGTGCGTATGAGCCGAATAATCGTTTCATAATTACTAAATAATGGACGATACTTATGCAAAATTGATGTGAAACTTATGCAAGACATAATATGAAGTAAATGCTACTGTAATTCTGTGCTGTAAAAATGCTATTTATGTGTCGATTGCCCGGTTTGCCTAGTTCAATGACAACGCTTTGGCAGGAGCCAAACAATGATATTATACTTAGGAAAGAAGTTAAGGCGTTCGAAGATGTACTGCAGTGGACGAGATGAGGTGAAATTCGTGTAAAATATCAGATTATTCCGAGAGGGCTTCCGCACTCTGACTTTGTTTGTTACTTTCTCATAATGAATGGGACCAGCCAAGTATTTAAAAACAACACGTCTGGTTATGAGTATAACGCGCCGCCGGCACTAGCCAAAGTTCAACAAACACTAAACGCCAAAACTAAGAAGAGCGATTGTCTTTGAAACTTTTCTTGGGCGCTGCCGTTTGTTTGCAAACTATACGTTTAGATTAGTCCAAATGATCTTAACACGCGTTCAGGACGGCTCATACGGGACGCACAATAAATTGAGGTCGTTAACACTATTGTGTACGTTGTCTTATAACGGCTCATATTTTGGGAAAGGCGAACGGTTGTTTGTATAAACTCTTGGCCGAGGGCGAAATTTACTGACCATCTCCGTTCGCTCGTCATCGTCATCGTCATCAGCACCGCAATAATAATATTATTATTTCCCAGAGCCTACACGTTTCTCCCAAGTCTTATGTCAACGGTCAGGGTTAGGGTTGTATGTTTTGTAACCAGGCGCGTTAATCGACTTGAGTAGGTCCCGTCGAAAATTAAAATTGAGACGATTAAGCTGCTGCTGTTGTTGTCAGTATTGTAGCGTGGACCAACGGTAGTTTGTTGTTCTTCTGTAATCCACACGACCCAGCAAAAACGTTTGCATATCAGTATACATACAGCTATATATGTTGTGGCAGTACACGTCATCTGTTGTTTTAACGGTTTTGATAACTTTTGACGTTTTTTGCTTAGCTCGTGGACCGTGTATAATTATTATTGTCCGGTATTTATAACTTAAAGTACAAGCATATTTTGCGGACCGTCCAGTCGATTAACGCGTAGCTAGTCCCGACTTTCAAGTTCTACACCAAGTTTTAAAAAACATTTTGACCCCTCAAACATATACATAAAAACGTTTCGCACCACATTAGTACGTTTTGTTTCCACCGTCTTTTGCTCTGGTGTGTTAATGATAGTTGGAATATTATCTATGAGAATTTGACAGTTGACGTTTGCATGATATAACTACACGGTTTCCGTCCCATAGCTCTGTATGTTCGCTACTTATTCCGAACGCGTTGAGAGTAAAATTTCCCTAAAGATAATAAATAAGTGTATGTGAGATTTATATTGAAACGGGCGACGGTCGTTGCGATTTTTATCATTTATTTATGGAGCTGTAAATAGAGCGTGGAAATTTTGAGAAATTTATTTGTTTTTTTTTCAGTTCTCCCTAAATTTTCCACTCTGACAACGTTTTAACGTTATTTATAACCACGCGGTTAGGTGTGCAGTACTGAAAGTGCTATTTTATAACAACATTTGTTTATCGCCGACAACAATGATCCTACTCTCGACTGTCCACCGGGGCACTTTAAAGGAGAGGAGCGTTTTTTTTTAAATCAGTTTATATTATATTCATGTATATGTACTAGATAAAATGCATAGCCGGAATTTTAACAAGAAAAGCCAAAATCAATATTGCGATAAAAAATATCGACGGGAAAAGAGAAAATGACTCGTTCACTACATACACTGATATTATAAACACATCTAATAAAATACTTCTCAGTATTAAGAAAATGTTTTTGTTTAACTTACATTTGCAATGATAAAATTACACTTTTTTAAAAAAAAGGATGCACAAATTAATTTAATTTAAAAAAAGCGGTCTAAACACGAAAATGTATAGAATAATTTTCAAAGGAAACGTCAACATTTTTCTTTAGCAAAAAACTATTGCGTTTAATATTTATTTGAGCTTGAGTTTATACTTTATTTACTTTAACGTTTTCGGTTTTATGAATGTCTTCAGGGTAATTGTACCGTTGTTAATTTATGAGGGCCGAAAAGAAAAAAATTTACCATTGCAAACAACGGGGTGCTTTCAACTTAAAAAAAAAACAAAGACAAGCGCTTGTGTTAGAAGTATCAGTGTAGTGTATTGTTTGCGATGAACAATGCATTTGTATGTGTTTAGTCTGTGGGCGGATGGAGACGATAAAATGAATGAATTGGTTAATCGGTGGACACGAAGAACTGACAAATTAAACGCACCCTCGACCTGTGTCCAAACGGAATGTATGGGTTTTGAATGTAATGAACGAGGACAACAGTAAGACACGGTTTGCAGTTTGGATGGCAATATAGATAATACCCGTAGTAGTGACGCCTTGCGGGCGCCTTGCTAGTGTGTACAGGGTAACCCTTTCAATTAAGAGTAGTTAAACTGAGAAATCGATTCACTGCCGAAAAGCGGTAAACGACCGGTAATTCCTGCCGACTTTGCAGGGTCAGTCAGACGGAGACTAATGATAATCAATTAGCTGAACGCCTAAAATTATAATATCATCTGCTCCGTAAGACCATTTGCTCCGAATGACCTTCGGTAACCGTGTAACAACAATAGTATATAATATACAACGTTAAACATAATAGCAGTTTAGCTGCTATTAAGAGATCAGTACGCGTTAGCAGTGTCGGAACAGGAGAAAAGAACTCATGTCATGCTAATTCAATAAAGTCGATAAATGTAATGTAGACGAATTGAGTTGTTGTTTTTTTACGAATCAACGTGGTGGCCGTATTGCGTTTTTTTATACGGAGATATTTTTTTTAAATTTTAAATGAAAAAAAAAATGTATATTTTTATCGTCGGTAATGTTTTATTATGTCCAGAGCCCGTGGGCAGTGAGTATAATAAAAACGCGTGCACGTGTATAGAAAAAAGAACTAGCGTTAAAAAAAGAAAAAAAAGAATTTAATTACATTTCGGCGGATTAAAAAAAAAGGTTTGATATTTTTATTAATTTTGCTGTCTACTGTTATGTTTTTACTTCATTATAAGGTTTCTGTAGGATTAAAAAAGAAAGCCGGATTGGAATAGTAATAATAAATTATAGGGTGCGCATTGTGATCGGTTTACAACAGAGATTCGTTGGTGCCAGTCCGGGGTCCGTTGACCAGAGAGTACCGGGAACTGCCACCTACACCATGTTTGCGGTTGATCTGCACCGATCCGCGGATGAACAGCTCTTTGAAAGTCTCCCGGAATTGTCTGGACATGCCGCAGTAGATGGCGAAGTTGATCGGGTAGCTGACGATTATGAAGAAGTTGGTGAACAGCACCAGGAGGTTGGCCAAAGAATAGTCGAGGATTTCTTTGATACTGCTCGATATGATGTGCAAAACCTGCATGGGAAAAATATATAATAATTATATAATGATATAATATTGTTACATTATTCAAAGTTTGGTCCCGGCTTAGGTTCAAGTTAGCAATAAATAGTCAAGACCTTGCTTGACCTGCCGTTAGCCGGTCGGTTAATTTTACACATAGGCCACCTGGGGATAATAATAATAATGTATAACTATCCCAATTGTATATAGAGCAGCTGTTAATTAACGCGGTTTCCATTACCAATATATTTTTAATATCAACGTTTCGCATCAAAATTTTACTTACAAAATATTACCGACTGGTTAACGCGGCTATCGTTATTGAATCAACCAACATCTTTGCAATACACTTAAGTATCATTTTTGCCTAACTGACGCGCCGTCTTAAACGTTGACTGTTTATAGAGAAAATATGAATAGAGTTTTCCTCAACGTTGTATTTTAGTCGTTATAATTATTATGGTTTGAGTTTCCCAGTAAAACGAACCAAACGAGTAACGAGTGTTTGTGAATATTCTTAAGGGCCGGGATTAATTATATTTAATAATGTAATGTAAATGTTTAAACATATTTCTCGGTGAATACTGACATGTTTGGTTATAACACCATTTTTTTTCCTTTTTTTTTTTACATATGTTTTCTTAGATTTAAAAATAATCGCGTCAGACACATTGACATGTTAGGTTAAGACCTTAATATTCGAGCGTGCCAGTGCTGTGAATAATAAAATGTCAACTATACATTTTTGTCCGGATGTTTATGACGTGTATTTTGTTGTTTTTGTTTTCACTATATATTTTCTGTAGTTTAAGTATGGAAAATATACTTTTGTTGTACTTTCTGTAGTGCGTTAACACATTATATATGGAAATAAAAATTGTATACCACGGTGTATTTACCAACCAAGTAAATGCACGCCCAGGAAGTCTTTAATATTTATGCTGACTCAGTTCCGGCATGATATTATCATTATAGAGTCAAGCGATTGAAATGCAAGTCCAAAACACGTATCACTGGGCCTTTTTTACATGCTTTTCTTTTGCTCGCTAACATGTACGTACGTAGGGGTATTTTTAAAATCTTGCAAAACTAATTTAACCCACTTCCCGATATTGTAACGGGCTAAAACTTGGCACAGACACTCATCTTAGATGACAGTACAATATCATTATGACATCGGACTCGGACACCTAGGTTGTCCTACACAGGGTCAAATGTGGGGGTAATTTCACTAAAATTTCATTTTTTTCCAAATCTTCCAAAATTAATATAGTAATCTATTCAGCAATTATTAAATACTTTTAATAGGACTAAAAAGTAAAAAAATAAAATAAATAAATTTAAAAAACACTTTTTTAAAAACATGCTTTTCTAAAAAAAAAAAAAAAAACTGGACTAAAAAAGTGAACTAAAAAGTAAAAAATAATTTTATTACAAGAACAATTTACCAATAAATTGTAGCATATTTTATTTAAAATTTCAATCACTTTGAAAACAACCGAAAATTAACTAAAATTTTAAATAGTGTTAAGCATCTTTAATTTCTGTCTAAAAAGAAAATAGAGCCCACCCTATTTAACAAAGTCCCTAATAAATTCATCAAATAATGTTTTATATTGTAAGTTCTTTTGTAATTTAAATTTAGTTTAATATTTGTGTGTGACACATACATTTCATAATACTTAAATCAATGAATTTAGACTTTGTTGAATAGGACCCACGCTTTTCTTTTTAGTCAAAAATTAAAGATGTTTAACATTTTTTAAATAAAATATGCTACAATTCATTGGTAAATTGTTCTTATAATAAAATTATTTTTTACTTTTTAGTTCACTTATTACTATTTATTTTTTTTTTTAGAAAAGCATGTTTTTAAAAAAGTTTTATTTTTATTACTGGTCCTTAAAGCGCTGTTTGTGTTGAAGTATTCGTTATGGAGATAAATAAAATAATTAAGACGTTTCTGATACTTTTGTTGGAGTTAGCTGGCACAAAAAATTATATTTTAACCCATATTTGTTTGCCAAAATGTCCCCTTTGTAAATATTATTATAGTACCTATATTCGAAAAAATAGTAACGATTTCTTAAAGTATCATTACCAACTGCTATATTATCAGTAAATTATGTAAATTATCATAGAAAATAATATTTTATTTTTTTTAAATGCCAAATACACCGTTGCTTATTACTGAATATTAAAGAAGGGCCATAAAAAAGTATTATTACTCGACTATCCTCGACCAATGCAAAAGAATTAACCAAGTAAACTTGGCAATACAAAATAGAATAAAATGAGTTTTTTACTGGAGTTAAAATTGTAATCTGGGAAGATTTATTAAAAAATAATTATGTGTGGTATCTTGAAAGGCGTTTCCATGCTATTATATCTTATGAGTTATACTACCTATTTTAAATTTCATTTCTAAGGGTTATATATAAAGTACCAGTTAGAGAAAATAGTTTTTACAATTTTCACAAAGAAAAGCATGGATTATTTGGGTAGAAATAAAGAAAGCTGTAGTAAGAGTGTTCCTTTAATGAAAACACACATTACATATCATTGTACTAACGTTTGGTGTTTTAGGTTCGATAGACATTTAAAAAATATCAATAAAAGCGTTCTAGTGTCAATAATGTCCTTGAAATTGTATTTTTGTATTAGAGCGGATACGATTTGGGGTAATCGTCTGTCTATAACAGTTTGTTACCTTAGTTTCCCATGTATAATAATTAACAGCATAATTACAATATTTTTCAGATACTTGAAGGCCGATGATTCATTCTCACATAGCAACCTAAAATTTTACTGTAATCAAAGTGTATTTTTCTTTGTTTTCCCAAATAAAAAAAAAGTTTGATATTAGATTTTTTAACAAAATCGTATATGTCTTAGCTCCATTCTAGATCTACCTCTAGTCTAATTTGCAGACATTTATTCCCAAGACTACACCTAAAAAATCGAAATAAGAAAATGTTTCTACCCCTTGGGGGGAAGGCTTTTTGATATTTTTTTGGTTTGTCAACGCGTATACTGATAATACTATGTTTAAAGACTATTTCATACAAATTTGGAGCTAATTGGGCACTTTTAAAAAAAAGTTATAGCATGCCGTTATTTTAAGTTGAAAAATATGAAAAGATTTGGAGTTTTTTCTCAATTTTGAAGGGGAAGCTATGATCATTGGCTCAATATAGTATATTTTAGGCACGATTTCTGATCTTTAGAGTTGTCACATAAGGAAATCGGCTCAGTGGTAAACATATCGTGAGTCCAGACATAAAAAAAAAAAGCAAAAATGTCATAATGGTCACTTTTGACATGATGGCGACGCATTGTAAAAAAATACTATATCAGCTCCGCATTGATACTAGAAACTAGATTCGTTAGATTTATTGTTAGTTTGCATGTTTAAATATTTCCCGATATCGGATATAATATATACACTTTATATATACATATTGTAAAAACAATGAAATGAAAAACTTTGTGTTTAAACTAAGGTCTAACATTTAATTATATTATACGGATGTGCATTTTGTAGGCGATATTATTGCTTTTTTTACCTAAAGGTACGTTTTACTGGAAAATACAATCGGGTAACACAATAAAAACGGTAGGGTTTTGCCAAAAGCTTAAAACGTCTGGGAACTTGCCAGCCACTTCTGGATTATTGTCGCAAAAATCTGACAAAGAGACTCTAAAAAAAAAAAAGAAACAGATTTGTTGTATTTATTTGTATTTTGTAAACAAAATATTTATATTGCAACGTTTGTAAATCCTCGATCGGCGCTTGTCTATATTATATTTACAAAATTGTGTTGACTCATCGAGTGAACGTTGGGTCAATTTGCTCACAATGTTTATGTTGGCCTAACCCTCGTTGGCTTTCTCGTTAAACCTCTTGTTAGCATTCCCGTGTAAAGAGAGTCACATGGAAGTGCTACTAAGTTAACAGATTTTTTTTTAGATTAAACGGTATACGCTTAATGTCTACTCGACTTGTTAAGAACGGACAGTGTTGGAGGTTGGCCAAGAGGTTTTAATCGAACGTAACAATGAACGGCGTGTGATATGAATATTACAGTTTTCTATAACTTAGCAATAATCATTAACATTCGAGCTTGACAACGTTCAACGTCTAAGGGAAAATGTCAAAAGAAAGGCGGTAATCCTGTAATAAATATGAAATGAATGAACCCGAACCAACAAATTGATCGTATTACAGTAGTCGATTCATGGAAGTTACATCGCTTGTTAGTGTTCGTTAATGACGTACTTAGTGTGGTGTTGTGAACTTTTATTAGACGGTCGGTCGATGGGGGTGATTTAAAGTAGACAATGGTAACAAACTCGAAATGAGTGCGCGTTTAAAAGCGGAACAAGATTAAACGCTTTTGGATTGATCGGTTCGATAAGACAACGGGGTGATATTAACGCTTAGCAGTAGAATCATTGGTTTGCACGCTGTTTGTGATTGCGTTTAAAATGCGTTAAAGTTGATTAATCGTGTTAAGAAGTTTTAACGAGTAAGTCTTGTTGGTGTTCCGAGGAAACCGATTGGGATTTAGCCAAACGTTTCTACATCATTCATGTCGAATTCTTGTGGAAGCTCTTTTAGATTTTTAATTACTCCGAGTAGTTCTAAAACTATTCGTAGCTATAATTCGTCAGGACTTTGTGTTAGTTTTTGGCCCTCTGCAATGACTTGGAATTTTATACACTGGTGCAGTGAACAGTTTGAAACGCTATTTTTTACAGAGTTCAATAGTTCTGATCAGGGCTCGAAAAAGTTACTAAGAAAAAAAACACACTATTTGTCATAGCTTCAACAAATATAAATTTAAAATATTGATAGTATGACATTCTAATAGCTTAATTGAGTTTGAATTTGTAAAAAGAAAAGTTAATTTAAACAATTTTCACCCCGTTTAAAACGATCAAAATATTTTGCTTGTAACGAAACATAATTTTCAAATGCATTATTTAACTTTAAAATGTAATTACAGGATCAAACTTAGTTTAGCTATCAGAATGTTATAATATTAATCGTTTCTTGTAGCTATAACAAATCTTGTACATTTTGGATTGGTAAAGTTTACAGTCCTTGGTTCTGAATTGTGTTCATATATTATCTACACTACAAAATTACCATAGAAACCAAACTCGTTACAAAAACATGTTGAATCAACTTAGTGAAGTCAATAAAAACCAGCACAATTTAGCTTTAAACCAAATCTGGAATTTAATTTAAAATATTTACTTGTTAGTTGTGAATGGTTGAAGTTTATAATTTAGTATGATAAAATTTCTTAACGATTAAATTGTGAAAAATACTGATCTTTGTTTCTATCATGTATATATTACGATGTATAATAATGTAAATAAATAATTCATAATGTTAATCATGTTAATAATACTAAAATTACTTGTTCTTTGTTCTCATTCTTCTATTAAAATAATTAAAATACTAGAATAACATTTTGGCAACGAGTCATAACTCACAAGTATCGAAATCATAAGCTCCCATTAATCTGTTAAACGGGTCGCAAATATTTCGGTTTAACTTTCAGCTGGAAACAGTAAACGTTGAAGATTTATGTATTGTTTGCACAATTCTATACTAAGTTTGTCTGTAAATCATTGTGCATAAAGTCGTTTCAAAAAAATCTCAAGTGCGATAAAATCGAGTGAGGAGTAAATATTTTTGTTGTTCGATAAAAAAGAAAGTAAAACAAAAAGTAGAATATGATATTACTGTAAATTCAAAAAGACTCGAATAATACGCTTTAAATCTGAATCGTATAGCAGTAAGATAATGTGGCCGGAAACCGTGCTCAGAAATAGTGCGCTGAAATGAAACAGTAAGATTATAACGATTTAAGAAAAAAAAAGTGTTATGTTTATTACAGTTCTATCTAATGTGCGTTTCGTATAAAGGAAACGATTGTAAAGTTTTTCTATTGACATTTATGAGCTTTATTACAAAACTACGTCGTTCATAAGTTATATGACCTTCAATTTTGTATCTATATAGTTTCTATATTGTTTGTTAACGACAATTTTTACACTCAATTTCCAGAATTGATTTGTTTCAAGAATAAAATATCTATTGACATTCTTCTTGAGGTTATTATTATTATATATTTTCTACGCAAAAAAACAGTAAAAGTACATTAAGTTGTCGCATTGGATGACAATTATGTAGAATATGCCAGTTTTCAATCAAAAAACGTATAAAACAATTTTTCACAAATTTTGGTATCAAATTTTTTGTATTGACATATTGTATCTTTTATGCGCTCAAACCAGGGAATAAAACAGATTAGTCGAGAGTAACGACCGCCGAAAGTTTAGGCATACAGGCAAAATGTATTACGTTTTGAAATTAAAAACATAATTTTCTCAGAATGAACAAAAATTGACATTGATCTTTTTTTTTTCTTCGCAGCCCTTCAAAAAAAAAACGATAATTTAACGGTTAACACATAATGTGAATCAATATAGTAAAAATATATACATTTTAAATACAAATTAAGTTTTTTTTATACATTTTGCTTGTATTTTGGTAATTACTAACTATAAAAAGAAAAAGTATTGTTCGAAAATATAAATTATGATATTTTTAAAAGAGTAAAAATATTAAATTTGATGTTTAATTACGTTTTAAGGCATTTAAATATTAGCTTTTCAAAAATGTAATAAATTTTAGTAGGGAAATTTGATAAAAAAAAAACTATTGTTTTCCAAGTACATTATTTTCTATTGATATTCGCATATGTTAATGCGTTGTATCGAACTTTCGACGTGTACAAATTATGCTTAAAAAGAAAATTTTATAAAAAAAATCACTTACCGTTACCACAGCCAATGGGATTTCTGTCATCAAGAAAACGGTAACTACGACAATAAGCATCAATGTGGTGCAGTTGGAGTCTCTCAGACGTCTACATTCATTTTTTCTGTTATCGTTAAACAACTTGTCTCTTTTTAATTGCGCGTCTCTCATAGCTCTGTAAACATGGTGAATTTAATGTAGTATTTTCTTTCAACTGTAAAATTAGTTTCAATTAACCACTAAGTCACCAGAGACCAATTTAGTCGTACCATTTTTAAATTGTATAACCGTAGTTGTTATTACTGTTGTCGACTTACATCATATCTTGTTTTAATCAGATTAAAAGTATATTGTAATAAAAATGTGCAATTTACGATTATCCGTTAAGGGTTCTAGTTAATTAAAAAAGTTATCAATCAAAAAAAGAAATTATCTACATCCGTACAGATATTATCATTTCTTTACCAATATGCCCTGTTTTGTCTCTGATAAGTGGCTAAAAAAATCCTAACTTATGACTATATTGTGTAAAATAAAATGGTTGTTATACACGTGTGTTTGTATTTTGCTTACCTGCAGAGGCACAAGTTCAACACAACGAGGGATATGCATGGTCCGGTATGGACGAATATAACGCGGAAAGCGTAGTAAAAAGTGAAGTAAACGTCCAAAGTGATGTAGTGTTCCACCCAATATGCGTGCTTCATCTGAAAGATAACAAAAAAAAAATTAAATTAATTCACTCGCTGTTTTCAATAGAAACAAACACATATTTTGATCAGATCCATTGGTGCCACAGATAGCGGACACAGAAAAAAAACGAGTAAAAGTACCACCGGAGGGCCAACTAATATATGAGTACAAATTATGACAAATTATTGTTTATTCTTGTACATTCTCAAAATAGCGTAACCAAACCAAAAAAAAACTGCTTGAAACGAAATAGAACACATACGAGAGACACGCACATATACACACAAATGTAATACTTGCACATTGAGTGTGTTAACTGTTTTGAAATAAACAATGAAGAGAATAACAGAAGTAATAAAACGGTAAAGCTGGTAAAACATTTTTCAAAACCACTTTTTATTATTATTATTTTTTGTTTTTGCAGTCTTTGCTATAATTTTCTGCAGTCGGTGCAGTATATTTCGAAAAATATATTGTATTCTACACACACAGAATTTCTCGCTGTCCTGACAAATGCAATAACTCGTGTCCTGAATCAGTATTTTTTGTTTTTTATATTTTTATTAACATCCTCATACTTGTGTTACGTTTGTGGTATCTATTTATTAATAATTTTATTACAATGCAAAGCTGAGAACTTAATTTTTTGTACTATTTTTTACGAACTCAAAATAAGAATATTAACGAAATTGAATTTATTTTAAACAAAATTATTAGCCATCACTTTAATAAGAATGGTTATTCTTATTAAGTAGTTGTATTATGTATTTAGAAAACGTAAACTTAATGAAATTTTACATGATGAATAGCTGGTTAGTGCACATTTGTCTGCAAGTACTGCAAGTTTAAGTGTGACTAAAATAATTGGATGATTCCTATGTTAATACAGAAACTACTGCTTTAGTTACTTTGCTAATAAAATTAAAAGATTGAAATACCAAACCACATTGGTTGTTGGTCGTATCTTAAGTTAACCAATATCCCAAATATACTATGTTATAAATAAACGTTATAATAATATTAACGGTTGGCTATCAAATGGTCGGTATTTAACTATAATATTGCTTATCATTTAACTTTGAAAGCAATCATTGTTAAAATGAATAATTTTCAGGTTTTTCTACATTTTCAGTTTTTAAATACGTTTAGAAGTATCTCTCTAAAGTTAGACTGACTCTGCAGTGGGTCCGATATGTCAGTTAAAAATTAAAGATATGGATACATCTTTAAATTTTTTTATCTAAAGTTAAACTTAATTCGTTAAAATTTTACATTTGTGGTTTGGAGTTTTAAGAAATAACAAATAATATGTATTATAATTATGAAATTATATAATATGTTAATTTAACATGGACGGGGTATTAAATTCAATAAATGATATAGAATTTTACATTTTCAAACGCCGTTCCTGTAAAATTGTAAAAATTTAATTGTCACACTTAATTTAATAAGTAAATATAATAACTTAATACAATAATTCAAAAGGAAAGGGAAATCTGAAAAGCGTATAAGAGGCAAAAGATTGAGAGTTAGTACACAACGTAAAAATTCCTTCTTCTTATTTTAAAAATATCGTGAGAATATTTTGTGTTCTTTAATACCTTGTATATTATAATTCAGTAATATTTAATTCAGCATATAAATGATATTTTCAATTAGTGAAGCTCGAGCGGTGGGGTTTTCACTTAAACAAATCAAATCTTTTGGAGATGGTTACTGTCGCGTCGCGTCGGTACATTATACAAGTTTAGACGCACCAGTGACACAAATTAAATTAAATACAGAAAGACGAGTGACAACCAGAAAATCTACGCTGTTCAAATTCTAAATTAATATCACAGTTAATATGTGACGTGTAAATTATAAAATCAGAACTGAATACGATTAATATACACAAATTACTGTAATTGGCAGACATCAGGCTTGCGTGATGCCGAATAAAACTGTCAGTATTTTTGTTATGTCGTTTCTTATTAAAGTGAGGTTTCTTTTATAGTCAATTTTTTAACAATGCATCTCAAGTGTATCCTATAGATATATCCTGAAACATGAATTAACCAATAAATCATGTAATTGCTTCAGCATAATAATATGTTTACTATTAAAAGAGTATTAATTTTCAATATATGTGAAAATAAATAATTTCCCGCCCCTATTTTAAATTATAAAAAATTATTGCTTAATCTAATCTCATTTCAAAACATTTTTATATATTATACAACGCACAAGAAATGTTATTTGTTAAATCAATGCTATGTTGATTTTACAGTCAACTGGTAATTAAACACTCGCTTATGTCCATCTCATCATTATTGTTTAAATATGTTCATAGATTACCTATGTACTTATTTTATTATTACGCAGGTGACTATTTGATTTTTAAAAGGTAACTTTTTAAACATTTGAAGCCAAAAATTACTTTTTAAAAAACATACAATCCATCAGACACGGTACGAATTACAATATTATGGAAGATATTTTCGCTTTTTAGTTTAACAATTGTTTAACATTAAAAAAAAAATTAGCTTTCGATTACACAACTGTATTTTGAATTTGAAGTTGTGTATACACCGTTACGTTAAACTAATATCACGTATACACGTTAAAAGATTACAATACAATCTCAGCTACGCATTGAAGCTAAAAAGGGATAGATAAAAATGACAAAAATATTGTTTTTTTTAAAAATTTATGATACCCATAATCCGAAAGGCAGTGCTTTTCGGCGAAGGTGTGAACGAGGAAATCAGAGTTATCGAGTTGCTTAATCGGCTTATAAGGGTTAATAAAATAGGGGGTGATACTCATAAATCCATAAACATACGAGTTGTGCTGCTAAAGAAAGAAAAAGTCAACTTATCCCGTTTGATGGATTACTACATAATAAATTATTCACTTAAAAAAAAAAAGTTATTTAAGTTTTTATTTCTCATTATGCGACAGAGCGTGAAAAAGTTTTTTTTTTGTCAAATACCGTTAATAATAAATTATAGAAGAAGTGCATTATAAAGTTATAAGTAAACTGCTGTTAAAGTATTAAAAATAGGAATATTTCACTAAATCAGTTATAATCACTTATACAGGTTCGGAAGTTTGTTTTGACAATCAATGCTTATCCAACATATTGGATTTACATCAATTAATGTATGTACGACTTTAAAAAAAACATTGTGAATTTCGGATTTTTGATTTCATAAAACTACCATCCGTCGTATTTTTTTTTGTATAAGACCCATTTATTTTCTTGGAATATAATGCACCAGATGTACACAAATATTTTACTGAATTTCCCAATATTTTAATAAAATATGTACACGTATTGTACTCGTAATAATTTTGAGTAAACTTGTGAGTTTTTTAAATTTCTTTCTAAATGTTTAGTATAAAGTGTTCAGCACTATAAAAAAAAAGTAAAATTCATTTTTTAAGGATTTTTTACCTTTTAACCTTTAGACCTTTTGCACTTAGGTTTTTAATTAAAAATACTCATTTACGATAGAACTGTTATATTAATTATGCAGTGGAATAAAATATGCTGAGGACATTTTTTTTTATTTTCCTTTGAACGAATTTTAGAGGGAAACAGTTTATGCGAACGAATGTAAATATCTTTATTTATATTCGTTGGGAAGTTTTTCGTTTTTAGTTTCCATTTGGAGCAATCACACTGCGTGTAACACTAGTATCTACAACTGAAGGCAACACACACACACTTGGGAACGATTAAACAAAGTGTAAAGCACACTTTGAGAAAATGAAAGCTGTACGATTCGAGTGAACGTTAATGGGAAATACCATGACAGTGGCGCCAGAGGTGCCCTTGCCGCTAAAATGTGCATAACGCACTGTAATTGTTTTTCACATGTCTTCCGTTTTTCGGATCGTATTAAGTCTTACTCGAGTGCTACTAACTTGACGTCCAAAATGATTTCGTCCGTAATTACCAGAAACAGTGAACAGCATTAATGGATTATAATATTATACAACTCACAGATGTGACACACGTGAAGTGCAACAACCTCAGTCGAGAGCGTCAAGCTGCAATAACCTAACAATATGTTGCCATGACCGGCGTTAGCGGGATTTATTAATTTGTGACAGCATAATAATATATGTTGATACAAGACAATAGTAATTTTAAAGAGACGCAGACAATTGAGCATAAATAGACAAAAATTAAGATGCCTATCCTCTGCTATAAAACATTTATGTTAGCCCGGTGTAATAAGGACGGCGAGATCTATTTTTAAGTGTATAAAATAAATTATTCAAAATGTTGGAATTGTATCTCTTTCCTCATTGAGTTTTGATGTTCTAATAAGTTTTTCAGCAAATTTTCTTAATTTAGATACCTATTATTTAAATACAGCCCAGAGGTGAAAAATGACAAGTTACAAAAATTGTATTTCATTGGAGTGATAAAAAAATATATATTTATATATTGTATATTTTATTAATAATATTGTTTTCTGTTTATTACTCTTTTTATACTTTGAACCTTATCGATTGCAATGTGCAAAAATGATTCACTGTTTTCAGTATGAAAATATATGAGTTTTTTTTTTATAAAATTATAATATTTTATAATACAGTATTAAAAAAAAATTATGACTGGAAACAACTTGTGCTATATTGAACTTGTGTGATGTTATTTCTGGAGTTAAGTTGTTCCGTAGGGTGAATCTAAACCAATTTTTAAAAAAGGACATTTCACGTTATATTCCTTTACCCTTCAAGTTCTATAAAAAATACTGTTTACCTATATAACAGACTATCCATAGACATTCTTAATGACGTAATTTGAATTTTGATGCGTCTGTATTAATAATTTAAATATGTATTAATTTTATTATCGACTATAAATTAGAAATTTATAATAGTAATAATTTATTTGTATGTACTCAAAGTTGAAGACAATAAATTTAAATTATTATATTTTATAGTACGTATTAGTTATTACGATTTAACAGTAAAGAATAATTAATGTTTTTCTTATAATGCTCCCACTGTTAAA